GGCTATAGATTGGTCGAAATAGTAGTTGAGTTCCTTTGCAAAGATCAATAGAATAATCATAAAGATTTTTTTTTAGAATAATATCTATATTTTTTTTAAAAAAACGTCTTAAAAATCTTAATACTCACTAAAAATATCACTTGACATCTTCTCACTAACAAAAATGGGCATGGCATATAAAAAAAATATAATCCTTCTTTTGCAGCATGCATAAAATCTCTTATTTCTACTAATAAGATTTTGGATATATTAAACTTATGTATTTCTACTTGACTAATGTATATTTGGATTAAACTATCAAAAAAATTAAGGTTATAAGAAATCCAATCTATTTAAAGATTATACTTTTTTAATCAAGATAATCTTAAAATAATCAAATTAGATGGAGATCTTATTATATTAAATATTATTATGTTATTATGATCTTTAATTACTAAATTGAAAAAAAAAATCTCATGCAAAACATCTCCAAAAGATAGCAAACAACCATCTATGACTTCTACATGTATATGTTTAATTTTTTTTTACTAACAATATTTCTTATTTTTTGACAAAATCTTCATTCATAAAATAGGCTGAGACTCTTGAATCTAACAAAGCTAAGACTTTGTGATTTTTTGGTCCTAAATAAACTTCTATTGTAAAATAAGGTGAGGGATTTGAAGAAAGAATAAGACCTTTACTAGGAAATACACAAGATTTTAGCCACAGAGCCCCAATTGTAGCTGTAAGGTCAATCTACTTGATTCTTTTAGTTGTACAATTTCTTTTCATAGATTCTAAACTTCTTCTATAGGTGTAGGCATAATATCTCTATGATTTACATTGAAAATACAAAAGATTTATACTCTTAGAGTATTAACAAGCTCATGAAGATCTATAATAGTTGCAAATCTATTTTCACTTTTGTTGAGAGTAGCATCTATAATCTTTCTTTTCATAGACAACTCAAAAAAAAATAAAAAGTTAAATTAGAGGAGGGTGATCGGCAACCTACAATACCAAATGAAAATTTTTACAAAGAAAGATAATTCACTCTCTTTAAAAAAAAAAAAAAAAAAAAAAAAAAAAGATAAAAAAAAAGATTTTTTTGTTTAAAGGTGGATAATCTCTATGCTTTAAAATATACCAATAGAAGTGGGATAATCCACTAACTTCTAAAATAAGTTAAAAATAATAAGTTATCATTATTATAAAACTATCAAGGATATTAATCTTGAAGAAAGAAAATTTTTAATACACTCTTGTATCACTGAAAAGAAATAAAAAGTCACTCAAAGATGATATAATATTGAGCTAGAATGGCTATTGCCAAAAACAAGAAAACTACAAAGTCTTGAAATAAGACTAAAGACTAAAAATGAATTAATAAGAGTAAAGAAGGCTTCACTCTTACTTTTATATATACTTTTAATTAAAAACTACATGGCAATGCCCTATAGGACCTGCAAAACAAGTTGACTTTATAAGACATGTATCTTAATTTACAAAGCAAGTTTTCTATATGTGTACCACATAATTAGCTTATTCTGAAAGCTACCAACACATGATTAACTTGTTGACAAAGTTTCTAGCCTATCAATTAACTACAAACACATGTTAAGTTAAAGCAGCATCTATGAAGCTTCTAAGAAGCTACTCTAAAAGATATTATGAAATTAATCTATTCTTATCTATTTTTATTTACTTCTACTTAATCATATAGGTATTTATTAAAGTATGTATGTATATCCATGACAACAATTCTTTATTATACCATTGATAGTAATAATTTGACAATAGAGGAGTTTATACAATAACTTATAAGAATTTTGTAGGATGCATGATACTGTCTCTTTACTATACTAAATTGACAAAAGTATCATGCAGATAAAAACCAATAATACAAGACCTTCCAAGAAGATAATCAGGTATTACTCTCCAATGCCAACCTTCTATTTCCTACATCAACCCAAGTCTATAAACTAACGCCTCAATAGCTTGGATGTTTTTACATTTTTGTAGTAATTTTTGATATTTTATATTGCCTTGAGTTTTTGTTACATATTTGGATCCATCCAATCTTTTATGTTTTCACTCAATCTTATTTTTCATGTTTCATTTTATTTAGTTACTTTCAGTTTTGTTCTAGTGTCCTTGGTCTTACATTGTGTTGAGATCTTTATTTTTATGAAATTGATAAGATTTTAACCTTAGAGAATCCAATCTTATTTCAATTTTGTAGCTTTAAAAAAAATATTTATAATGATATTGATTAGTAATTAATGAGTGATGATTTCATTAAAGGCATTTAGTTGATTCTTCATATCTATGGCCTTTTTGATAAAAATGCTTATATTTCTTCCTTCTATCATCAATATTCTATTTAGCTTATTTGTTAAAAGCATGATTTTTTATTAGTCTTTTGTATCAAATTTTTTCTTAAATATATCCCATGTGTCTATTAGATATCAAGAATATAAATTTTAAAGAAAGAAAATCTCACTATATTCTTATGCTACTCAAAAAGACTAAAATATTACTCAAGAATAGTAATATATTGAACTAAAATGGCAATTGCCAAAGCCAAGAAGATTAAAAAGGCTTGAAAAAAGACTAAGGACTAAAAAGGCATTAACAAGAGTGAAGAAGGCTTTATTCTTGCCTCCATATATATTATTCAATTAGAAGCTAGATGACGACATTCTATAGGACTTCCAATACGTATTTAATTTGAAAAACACATATCTTAACTTATAAGGTAAGTTTTATAAATGTGTGCAACATCATTAGCTTATATCTTAAGCTACCCATATATGAGATACATGGTTAATTTGTTGACTAAGTTTCTAACCTACCAATCAACTATAAATATATATAAAGTTAAATACATATTTGTAAAGCTTTTAAGAAGCTATGCCATAAGTTAATATCAAATCTACTTACATTTATTTTTTATCCAGTACTTTTAGTCTAGATAAATATATATGTCTATAACATTATTTTTCCTTCTAGATATGAGTCCCATGAAGAATAGTCATCATATGTTGAGAAAATCCAAGATGCAATAAATTGTGTTTGTTACATATTCTAATCTTTATTTGCTTTGAAGGTAGTTGATAAGTCTTCTTAGCCATCAATAATGTCATATTCCAAGACATGATGAACATCCCATTATTTGATCATTGTTGAGGCCTTTGTAACTTCCTTCAAACAAAACATTTATAAGACCATCAGAAGTCATTCTTATTTCTAATAAAATCAACAAATATTAAGAATCTCTTCTAAGGTTGTGATACCAAATGCATTATATCTTGCCATCTATTTGAGAAAGAACTTATTATTCTTAAGGATCTTTATCTCAATTATGTTGTCACTTGCTTTGCAAATTATAAAATTATTGAAAGATGGTAATATATTATATTAGAATAACTAGTATTAAAGTCAAGAAGACTAAAATATCTTGAAATAAGACTAAAAACTACACATATAGTAACAAGAGTGAAGAAGACTTCTCTTTTGCTTCTATATATACTATCTAATTAGAAGCTATATGGGAATGTTCTAAAAGACCTCAAATACATGTCCAATTTGTAAGACACGTGTCTTAATTTATAAGGCAAGTTTCCTATAAGCTTGCCACATCATTAGCTTGTACCACAAGCTATTTACATGTGCGACACACGGCTAACTTATTAGCTAAGTTTCTAACCTATCAATTAATTATAAACATGTGTAAAGTTAAACACAAGTCTATGAAGCTTCTAAGAAGCTATGCTACAAGTTAATCTATCTACATTTATCTTTTATCTAGCACTTCATATGTAGATAAATATGTATGTCCATGACACTAGATCACTATGCTGCAAAACTATTATAATCAAGCTATTTGTTAATAATATTGTAATCAATTTTGAGGAGTAGTTGCAATAAATTAAGATATATTTTTTGAATATTTTATTATTAAAAAGAAATAAAAATAAAATTAATTATAAAAAATTAGTCTATAATACTTGTTAATATTAAAAAATATGTGTTCCTGAATTTTATTTTATTTTATTTTATTTTAAGGATAATTACTAAATTTTTTTTTTCACATGTTTAAAACTAACATATACACACAAATCAATTAAAATGCAATATAATTGAAGCTATTGATGTATTTATGTGAATACTTTCAAAACAAAGAAAAAAATCAGAAAAATAATAAAACAAAAATTTAAAAGATATATTAATACATTTATTTATTTATTTATTTTTGAGTATGCGTAACGATGTCTGTAACGTAAAACCAAAACAGGAAAAGCAAAGGCGAAAAAGGAAAAAGAAATAGAAAAGCAAAGAAGAAAAGGAACCAGGTAAGGAGCATCGTATCAACCGAGAGGAGAACGAGAGCGGGGAATAAGGGGGAGCAGAGTTAGGGAACGTTGGAACGACATCGGAACAGTTGGCGGGCAACGGAGAAAGATGCGATGGCCCTTCCCCACGCCCCCCGACCAGTGCCCCAACCCCAAGCAAAGGGAACGCGAGATGGGAACAAGGGAACGAAGGGGCAGGGAACGGATGATGGGCGTGGGGGACAGGTCCTGTCAGGGAGGGGGGGGGGGAGGGGGTTGTGGAATTACTGCTACTACTACTACTAAGTTACTAAAAAGAGTACGTGGGAACGGGAGGGGAACGGGTGTGGAGACCTGACCTGGGTAAGGTAAGGGGACCCCCTTGACAAGTGAATCGTTTTCTGCTGCGTCCAGCTCCTCTCCCCCCCTCCCCCTCCCCCTTGCTTCCCGATGCACAGATTAGAACCGGATTGTGCAATGATCGCTTCGACATCGCGCTGGAGCATCGCACCACTGCGTAGGTCGCATTGTGCCCTTCAAGCTGAACGTGGAAGTGTCGTATTTGGAGGCGAGATGCTCCCGGACGGGATTCAATCGTAAAAAGGGGTATGGAGCAATTGTTTGCAGGGCCTTGTGTCGGGGATCGGCTCCCTCGCCATGAGAATCAGTGAATTACGGTTAGGATGGCGCTTGGATTGATCCTCTTGCTGTGTCTTTACGCCTGCAGGGTGCAATTTGTTGTTTAGTTTCGGAAATGGCGTTTTTCTGTGGTGGTCACTGAGGTCTCTCAGACGGTGACCTAAGTGTTTCGCGTGGTAGATTTGTCGTCGAGAGCTGGCATCGTCTCCTTCTTGCTCTGGGTTGTGACTGTACGCGCGGTACCTTGTCTTCGTGTGACCTTGTAGAAATGGAAGGGAACCCTAGGGTGGTCTTGGTGTTTCGAAAGAGGGTTTAAGGGAGGGCTTCGTTTGATTTCTAGTAGAAAAGTAAGCACGTGATGATTTAGGTGAAGTTGCGGTACTTCGCAGGAGCTCTTAGTAGTTCTTTTCCTCCCAATTTGATGTAGTAATCCCGCCCCCGTTATTGTTAACCTAATTGCTTACAATAACGACGAGTGCGCTGTAATGCGACATAGTTCTTAATTCCGATTGTGTTTGACGCAGTCTATTCCGATTTTGGGTGGGATAGTGTATTTTCTCCTTTGACGCACCACTGCCTGCATCTTTATCCTTCGTTATGAATTGGTGGGTGCATCTTTTTTGTGTTATTGTCTTCGTGTGCACTCTATCTTCACTAGGTGCTCGTCGGGCAAGATCGATGCCCGACTCTCAAACCCAATTTAGAGACCTGCATATGCGTCAGTTTTACGAAAGTTAGATATCCTTCTTTTTAGGGGATTGATTCGCTTTCAGGGTTTCAATCTGTAGTTATGAATTTTGAGCAAAACATCTGGATTAGAACCAACTGACCGTCCTACAATTCGAGCTCTTTTGTATATATATGGTAGGATTCGAATATGTGACTTCCTTGGTATCATTGTGATTTTGAATGCTAAATCTCGTGAAAGTTTCAAGGATTTCCTATTCATGAGCAGCTATTCCTGCGATCATTAGGAGGTTAGTTGCGTTATGTGTGGAGGTTTTGGTTATGTGGAGAAGCCACTCGGTTGAAACAAAGCCTCCACCGAATTCATGACGTCTACTTCGATAATGTAAATTTGAGGCTCACTCTTTCAATGCACATTTTATTCGTATGCCTATCTTTTTGCTTTTCAATTCGTCACGTTTGTGTTCTTTCATATTTTGACTTACATGCAGAATATAAAACGGCTGTTGCTTTGTATTTGGTCGTTAAATGTATCTGTAATGATTGTTAATCCAATTAGGTTTTCGAATTACACTGATATCTATTTGTGGAAATCATGTCTTTTTTGCAGGTAGCTAGTGAGGCTTGAGCTGATGAACAGAGGATCTGTAAATATTAGGGTGTTGCGGGATGTCAGACTACGAGGATGATGAGAGTGTATCGAGTGAAAGAGATGAAAGAGATGTAGGTGAAGACAGCGCAAATGGTAGAGCTGAGGAAGAATTTAGTGATCTAGAGTTTGGGAGAGTCGGAGGTGAGGAAGAGCTTGTTTCAAGTGAGAGTGATCCGGAAGTAGCAGCTGAGAGCGTGAGTGACAAAGAGAGAGGAAGAGATGATTCTGGAAATGAGGGGGACGACTTTGAGGAGGACGTTAGGCATACATCGGTGTCAACCAATTCTGGTCGTGTGAGAGTAGCGAAACAAGAGATTGGAGATGTATCAGGGGATGGATCACATGGCTCAGATTATGAAGAAGGGGTTGAGCTAGCAACCAACAGACAGGAGGCGTTCAGTGATGATGGCAGCCCTTCTGAACAAGATGTTACTGATCAGAAGGGACTTGATGACGAGTTCGTGGAAGGGGATATTGGGAACAGAGAAGATGTAGATGATCTGAAGGACGTAAGTGAGCTTGAGGCTGACGATAAAGGTTCTGATGATGATTATCAGGTAGGCTTACAGGCTGCAACGCTATTTCTAATACCGCTCTTGTTGATTGATTGCAAGAGATATATGAAAATATTGAGGCCAAATCTCTATTCTTGTTATAGATATTGCAGAAACAGGCACTGAAATAAAGTGTTTTGAATCAACCATGTGTTCTATCTTTAGGTTGAGGAGGACTTCGATGCCTCTGACGAAGATGAAGGTGACTTACAAATAGTGTATGCTAAGGAGCTTCCAAAAACAAATGCGCGGCGCTTTGGAGGTGTAAGGACCAATGTTCAATCAGTCCTTCGAAGGCCAGTATCTAGACCAGTCAAGCGTGAGAAGTCCGTAGAACCAGAACCAGAAGAGTACGAATTGGAAGATGAAGAGGAAGAGGATGATGAAGATCGTGAGTTATGCTTTTCTCATCTTGTATAATTATGGGACCGTATACCTTGCAGAATTCGTATAAGCCATGATTGTGTGGTATGCGTAATTCTGTTGTATTTATATTTAGATGTTCGAATACACGGCATATTATATCCTTTGCAGTATCAAGGTTCATCATTTCTTATTGTATTCACAGAACAGCTTTGTTTTACATATGCACCATGCATTGCTGATTCACTCTCTACAGTTCCCTTTGTAGGTCAAATTTCTCTTTACAATTCACTTTCGATGTGTGTGCTAGGTTTTCTTTGTAAGGATACCATGCATGATTTTGGATGGGCCTGGTCCATGTTTGTGTTGTACAGCTGCCGATGATCCTCAGGACTCGGACTTCGACCCCACGGATGGGGGTTCCAGTCGTGGTGGAAGGCACGTAAGTCTTAGTTTGTACACTATCCTTAACCTTCTTTATGCCTTGCTCATTTAGTCGTAACTGCCCTTTGACATCGAATGTTATCTCTGCAATTTGAAGTCGATCTCAACTTTCAGAATAAATCTTATAATTTTGTGTTATCACCTGAATGCAGCCTACTTTGTGCTAGGATTGGGGCTAAAGTCGTATTTCGTTCTAAACTAATTGATCGTCTACACTATTATCACAACTTGAACTTTGACAGGGTGCCGGCGCTGTTGAAGACAGTGATGAACCTTCTGAGGAGGACTCGGATGAGAGTCTGGAACTCTCAGATGATAGTGATGATGATTATGGAAAGAGGAGGGCCTCGCGCAAGCGCAAAACCACTCGAACGTCTCGAATCAATCACAACCGAACCCGAGTTATTCCCACTCGAAGACTCAGAGTACAGGGCTTATTCTCTAGCAGTGATGATGAATCCTCTGCAAAAGACAGTGAACAAGACGAAAGTGACGAAGATTCGAGCTATGGTCGTCCGCAGCGCAAAGCAGGAACTTCAAATAGCAGAAGAAGGCAGGAGACATCGGGATCACCTCGTATCTCAAAAAGAGATAGGGATGCCTCTGCTAGGGAAGCCCGCACTCGTACGTCTAGTCGAACGCTTCCAAGGAAGTCGTATGCAGAAGTCGAGGACAGTGAGGATTCAGAGGACGAGCGAGAAAAGAAGCGTCTCAAGGTTTGGACCTTTTCGTTGCCGCTATGCCATCACTTTATCTGTTATTGGTGATGACAGGCTCGGGTGTCGTTGTTATGGACGTTAAGTAGAGGTGATTTTATGCAGAGAATTTGTACAAGCTTACCTTATTGTATGGATATTATCTTCCTATTTCACTTCTTATCTTCAAAAGCTTTAGGATACATATTTGTTCTGGAACTTTCTTGGGTTTCTTTATTTTATTTCATTTTATTTTAACATGTGTTGACTGTGTTCCAAATGGCTTTTGGTTGGTATGATTGACATGAGCAAGTGGCTTGCTATGGATGTTTTTCAGCGTGTTGCATTATTTACATTTATAATGCTGAAGTTTTCTTTCAGCCATGTGTTTAGTTGAGCTAAAGTCCTGCTGTTCAGTACTTTTTTAGTCAGAATTGGTTCATGTTCTTAAGTGTTCTATCTTGTTTCCAGGTCGCAGCAGAGGAGCTAGAGGAGGAGGAGGACAGTGGTGATGCCATTGAAAGGGTTTTGTGGCATCAACCTATAGGGATTGCTGAGGCAGAAGCCGCTGGTGGAAGTCGTGCAGAACCATTTGTGCTTGATACAGATCCGCATGCTGAACTCAACTGGGACGATCAGGAATTTTACATAAAATGGAAAGGCCAGTCATATCTACATTGTCAATGGATGCTCTTATCAGAGCTCGAACCGGTTAGTCAAGCTTAGCTTTCACTAGTGATCATGCATGTTTTGATTGTATGTGTTTTGTTGTCAGCTTCCTTCGAAACATTAGTTCATGCTATTGTAGTCGGAGTAATCGTTTGATGGACTTCGAAAATCGCTTTCATTCTCATGATTTCTATCTCGATGTTTTCATCGTGGTAATGTGTTGGCATCCGTAGCTAAGTGGATATAAGAAAGTGCTAAATTACATGAAGAAGGTCGACGAGGATAGAGAAATTCGTCAGTCGCTCTCTCCAGAGGAGGTATGTTTTCTCTATATTTGCTAGATCCAATATTCTATGATTATTAGTCCTGGTTTTCTTGTTCACTTCAACTAGTTCTTGTTGTTTATAGTGTTTGCGTGTTGAGTTTCACCCTACCACTAGTGATAAATGTTACTCCCTCATGTTACGCCGTGGAGGTAGGCGCTGTAGTGCTTAGGGATCAAACTGTGTTGGCATCATAATTTTCTTCTATTGTACTACAGCATAGGTGTACAACGTATTAAACGTTTAGTTTGTGCATATTCTTGTCTGATACTCCTTGTTTTGCAGGCTGAACTACACGATGTGAGCAAGGAGATGGAGTTGGACCTTCTTAAACAGTACCTCCAGGTACGTCTTATTAGGTACCTCTGAAAGGGATTTGAAAGCTTATTAACTAGGAATTGGAAGCGCCCAGTCGCAAATTAGATTCAACTTCTGTACTCTTTGTGATACTTCGATCCTATGTGACTGCTTCTTGAACCATCTATGTTGTCGAGGAGTTCGTAAGTTTGTAAATTAAATGTCGATTATTTTTGGTGAATTTATTGGCAGGTGGAACGGGTGTTTGCTGATAGAAATCGAATGGACAATGATGAAGAGATCATAGAGTATCTGGTCAAATGGAAAGGACTGTCCTATTGTGATTCAACATGGTACAATTTCATACCTGTTGTCGGTGGTGCTATATTCGGGTGTGCGTGAGGTTGCGTTTGATTGAATGTGAGTTAGTTGCAAGAAATCGGTGGTTACTATCTTAAAACTGTTGTACCGTCGCAATGCCGTATGACCATTTTGTTCATTGGTTACCTGTCATCAATAAATAACCTAATTTAATGAACATCTCTTTTGCTTGCAGGGAGAAAGACACGGATATCGCCTTCGCTCAGGCTCAGATTGATGAATATAAGGTCAGTTCAGTTCGTCAAAAAGTTGCACTTTTCCTTTTATTTTGATTTATTTTTTCAAACACAACTCACTCTATGATAAGGTATTCGTTGGTCACCTTGTTATGATGTCTCTCATCTTTATCATTATCTAGCATTTCTAATTCTATATTTACGCTACTACTTCCGCGATTCCTTATGCCTGACAGGCCCGTGAAGCTGCCACAACTTTTCAAGGAAAGCTTGTAGATGCTCAGAGACGAAAAGGCAAAGGTAGATCCTGCATTACATATTGGTTGTATTTGCTGCTTGTTGTAAATGAGGCCGTCAGAATGGAAGATTTTTGCTCTCTGAATGTAGGCATTTTTTTCCTACTTTTTGATTTCGAACATTCCACTCACATGGTTTTTGCCTTTCAAGCTAGAGATTAGGCATGAGTATCTTGAGTATTCTCTGAGATTTTCCGCATTCTGAGCTTGATTCATCTGACATAATTTTACGGATGCCAGTTAGCATGCGGAAATTGGAAGAGCAGCCAGAATGGCTGAAAGGTGGAACACTACGGGACTATCAATTGGAAGGATTAAATTTTTTGATGAACAGGTATGCACCAAATTGCAGCGATTTTGTCAACGTCACAGTGGCATATTCACTGAGGACAAATGTTAGTGGATAGAAATAGTGGTGGCAGTAACGAGTCACTGATGTCGCCGAGTGGGTGAGTTAAGGTAAGTCTGGTTTTGGTATTCTACTGAGCCCTTGTTGCTGTTATGTGGGTGAACAGTTGGAGGAACGACACCAATGTTATCCTTGCAGATGAAATGGGTCTTGGCAAGACAGTTCAGTCAGTCTCGATGCTTGGATTTTTGCAGGTGTGGACCTGACTTAGTGCTCTACTTTCTTTTTTTCCTTTTTGTTCATGTGATGTTTTAAAAAAACTAAGTTTATTATTATTATTATTATTATTATTTTTTTATCCGTTTTTTCATTTAGGTAAGATAGAAGGCCCTATTTCTGTTTGATTTTTCAAGTGTGTAGAGACGGACAACACAATCTAGTACTATTTTCTTATGTCTATGAGCGAATGAAACACAAATAAAACCTGTTTGTATGAACATTTTTCTGAGTAAACAGCAGTTTTTTATGGGTTTGTGAAGTTGGTTGACATAGACTTCTAGAATAGCATGTAGAAGGGTAATTATGGCGTTGGTTAACGACCTTAATTCCAACTAACCAAAGTTAAATTACGTTCATATGATTTGAGTGCGTTTAAAGCATTCTTTTCAGATGGTTTATGCTATTTTTTTTTATACCATGCAGGAATACGGAAATTAAAACATATGCATCTACCTTATTGTTAATTGATGTTGCGCTTAAAGTTTTCACCTCGTCTGGATTCTAATGAAGTGATTTGAGCTTTTGAGTTGGCTTGGTGTGTATTTAGTTTGGCTCCTCAACTAAGTTATACTGAAGCTCTGAAGTTATTTCATAAGACTGATTGGAAAAGGAGCATAGCCTGAGTTCTGTGCTGAATAATATTTGGATTTCCACAGGAAGTTGTTGCTTCTTGCAAAATGAACATGTCTTAACTGCACCTTATGTTTTTTCTGGGATATTTTTTATTGCAGAATGCTCAACAAATACCTGGACCTTTTTTGGTAGTTGTACCGCTTTCCACCATCACAAATTGGGCCAAAGAGTTTCGGAAATGGTTACCGGATATGAATGTAGTTGTTTATGTTGGCAACCGAGCTAGTCGGGAGGTGAGTGTCCTAGACTTGTAGACTTTTCCATCCTAAACTTGGTTTTATCAAACATATCCTGGTCGCAAATTTGGTTTTATTGTTTTGGTCATTATCTTATCTTTCTTAATCTATTTTTATATTTGGATGCACTTATTATTATGCTTAACATGAATGATTCAGTAACTCTCCGTCAAGTTTGCTATTTGGGGTTACGCGCTAGTTGTCTTTTTCGTTCGGTTTTGTCAAGTAACTATACATGAGGGGGAATCTTAGGAGGGTGAAGTTAGTACTAAATTTCTTATAATATTTAAGTGCATGTTGTCGTTCTAGACTTAGTATCATTTACCAACGAAACACTCGATAAATGACTACATCATAGAACACTTCAAGGAACAATCGATAGAAGGTTGTGTATACAGGTATGCTTGAGTTGTTATCATTTACCAATTTGCGAATTTTGATTTGAAATTGGCATGTTAAAATTTGCAGACATGTCAACAACATGAATTTTATACTGGGCGGAAGACTGGGCGGACCATAAAGTTCAACACACTTTTAACTACATATGAAGTTGTACTGAAAGATAAGGCCGTGTTATCAAGGATAAAATGGTGTTATCTGATGGTTGACGAAGCCCACAGGCTGAAAAATTGCGAAGCCTCTTTATACACCACTCTACAAGTACTGTGATCCTGGAACCTTTGATAGTGATCTATGTATGATAGATATTTTGGTTTATACTTCGCATGTCTTCTGCGTACCTCTATTTGTCATTGATATGTCACCTGGTAGTGTTGGGTGTCATGGAAGTTGAACTGGGATGTATCACCGACGATTTTAAACGACTGTACCATGTTTTCATGTTTCTTGTTGCGAATGCTGGATTTGATTGTTTTTTCACTTATTTTTGAACAGGAGTTCAGTACCAAAAACAAAGTACTGGTCACGGGAACACCGCTACAGAACAGTGTTGAGGAACTTTGGTATGCCAATTTTGAACGCTTCTTTTTCTGTTAAATATGTGGCTTACCTTGGGACTTCCTGCATGTTGGATTATCATTCTGGATTCTGCAAAGGTGACTTTCATCCAATTTTTAATGTCTTTCAGCACCCAGTTCACTGATCTTTGCTTGTGATTAATAAGTCTAGTGTATTTAATCACGTTAATTTTTTTATGGTGGTTATCTGTACTTCTCAGGGCGCTTCTTCACTTTCTCGATTCTGATAAATTCAAGAGCAAGGAACAATTCACGGAGCACTACAAGAATTTGAGTTCCTTCGATGAAAAGGAGGTATGTTTTGTCCATTCAGCCACAAAGTTAGGCATGCAAATGAGTGAATCTTATTTGTAATTTATTTCAGAACTGTTTTTGAGTCTGGCTTGCTTACTTTCTATCTTCGATTAAGGGTTGTCTCATTGTAGATTATATTGTTCAAGATTCGCATGTGTATTTAACAATTGATAGCTGTTAAACACTAAAGCACTTAGGAATGCTGTTTTCCGCAGACTTTCCATGTGATGGTGCTTATTATTTTGTACAATGTTGACCAGTCTTCTTGATAAATTTATTTTAAGTTGATATGTTATACTGAATTTATGTGTTATTCTTCTCTTGTCAGCTTGCAAATCTCCACGCAGAGCTGCGACCTCACTTGTTGCGGAGAGTAATTAAAGATGTGGAAAAATCATTGCCACCCAAAATTGAGCGCATTTTGAGAGTGGAAATGTCGCCTCTTCAAAAGCAGTGAGTTTCATGTTACTAATCTTACGTTTAGCAGTACAAAGCGTGGAAAATCATGAAAATCATTGCTTGCCAGCAATGTTTGTGTGGAACGTTAGTATATAAATACTGAGAAATATATCTAACATCTACCATTTTTATGTTTTCAAGGTATTACAAATGGATCTTGGAGCGCAACTTCAATGATCTGAATAAGGGCGTTCGCGTAAATCAGGTCAAAGTTCTCAATTATCTTGACGTAAAGCATGAACTAGGCTCGTCGCACGTCGTGGCATGGAAACATGTAGCGTTTCAGAGGGAGTCTATTTTTAAAGATGAATTCATCATCCAAATGGTTGCAAAATTTCTGAGTGCGACTACCGGTTAAAACTGTGATTTCTTTTTCTGCTGCTTGTTTTTCTCCTGCATTTTCAAGAAGCTAAAGTTTTACTGTGCCTTTTTATCTCATCTTGTAGGTTTCTTTGCTGAACATAGTTGTGGAGCTCAAAAAGTGCTGTAATCATCCATTTCTGTTTGAAAGTGCCGACCATGGCTATGGTGGAGATGCGAACATGAATGATAACAACAAAGTCCAGCGCATTGTTCTAAGTAGCGGTAAACTTGCCATTCTTGACAAGTTGTTGATACGCCTGAAAGAAACAAACCATCGTGTTCTTATTTTCTCACAGGTAACTACTCTCTTTGCAGACTGTGTAGTAGGAAACTTATATCTGTCACATTCTGCTGGTAGCTCTGCTTGATTTAAATTTTGTCGAAGATGTTGAAATATTATCCATGTATCTTATACATCTTGACTGTCTCACAAAACCGAGGGTGGTGTTGTTGTTTTTTCAGATGGTGAAGATGTTAGATATCTTAGCGGATTACATGAGTTTGCGAGGGTTCCAGTTTCAGCGTTTAGATGGTAGTACACGATCAGACCTCAGACATCAAGCTATGGAGCACTTTAATGCCCCTGGAAGTGAAGACTTCTGCTTCTTATTGTCAACACGAGCTGGTGGTTTAGGCATTAATCTTGCCACTGCAGATACTGTCATTATATTCGATTCGGATTGGAATCCTCAGAATGATCTACAGGTCTGCTTCCTGAAGGTTTTACCTGCTTAAATAGATGAAGTGTTGTATGCGCTATGTAAAAACTTAATGAATCTGTTTAAATGGATGCTAGAGTTCTTCAACCGTCTGCTTTAACATTTCTTTGGAGTAATAACTGCATTTTTCTGAAAAGCTTGTTTCCTGCAGGCAATGAGTAGAGCACATCGTATTGGGCAGCGGGATGTTGTGAATATATATCGTTTTGTAATTAGTCGGAGTGTTGAGGAGGATATTCTCGAGCGGGCGAAGAAGAAGATGGCAAGTTTGGCTTCGCTGACTTTGTTGCCGGAATTCCTGTGTGCCGTAAAAATTGGAACGCACAGAACGAATTTCTAGAGAATTTTAAATTTTCTAGACAGAGTATAATTGAATTTGCAGATCACTTTCTGGTTTGTCTGGAGGCCGAAGTTTATCACTTGTTGACTATGCAACTGTTTTGAATTAAAATTTTCTTTCGTATTTTACTAGTTTGCTGAAATCGCTTATTAATGTGCCATATTTCACGAATATTGTTAATCTTTTCTGAGTGATCGCGCACATGTTTGGACTAGGAACACTTATTCGCTTGTATCCATTCCCTTCTTCGTGTGTTCTCCTTGTATCAGGTCTTGGATCACCTGGTCATTCAGAAGCTCAACGCACAGGGCAGACTGGAAAAGAAAGAAGCAAAGAAGGGAACAGGATTTGATAAGGTATTGTAAACATTAAACATTATCCCCAGTAGCATATCTGAAGCACTCTCGTTTGTGTAATAGATTACCTTATTGCTGCAAGTTTACTCAGTTCTTAACAAGGAACCTTTTCATTATTGCTACTGTTTGAAATATAAGCATTCCTATTTTCTCACGCAATTTGGATTCTTGAGTAGCTATGTCAGACCTTGCTCATCGCATTTTGTAATATCTCGTACAGAACGAGCTCGCTGCTATTTTGCGATTTGGTGCCGAAGAATTGTTTAAGGATGATAAGAATGAGGAGGATCAGAAGAACAAACTTGAGAACATGGATATTGATGAAATTTTGGCCCGGGCTGAGAAAGTGGAGACTAAATCGGCGGCCGAAGTGGACGCTGAGGGCAATGAGCTCCTAGGTGCATTCAAGGTATTTATCATCCACAGTTTCAGGTCCCCTTCTTTGAATGATTGATCCAAGATCTGTTTTCCTATCATAGAGTTTGTTTTTATGATGAAATGTATCTGTAAGATTTTCGGTGCAGCTCGCCATTCGCATAGATTTGGAGGTGAACTAATGCTGTATATGGCCGTACCTCATGTCACTTATAATTCTTGACTACGGGTTGTTCTAGGTTGCAAATTTCAGCAATACAGAAGATGATGCCACCTTCTGGAGCCGCTTGATTCCTCATGATTCATCGAGGCAAGCAGAAGTACGGTTCAAAACTCTCATGTCATCTATGTCGTAGGTCTTCTCTTCTTATTATTTTTACTTTTTGTTAACATTCCAAATTAAACAGGCCGTTAAGCCTTGTTTCACGTACAGGCTGTCCCCATACAGGACGTGTCAGGCCCACGCGTGGCAAGAACTGTGCGGAACTATTCTGAAGATTTTAGGTCTGAAAGGGATGGGAAACGACGACGAGGTGATGTTAAAGAGAAGGCTCCCAAAGTTGGAACCAAAGCTAGTAAAGAATACGTGCCTCCATCTGAAATCGAGGGAGCTGCTGCTCGTGCTGCTGAGTGGCGAGGCGGTGTTCTTACAAAGAAAGAAGCCAATTTGTTTATCAAAGCGGTTTGTTTACGAAATTTCTTCTTTTGAGCATATATTTAAATGTCGTAGTGTGCTGAGCATTGAGAGTACTGAAGTGGAACCGAAGAAACATCTTATCGGTCACTTCTGGCATTTGGGCACTGACGAATGTCGGATGATGCTGGTCCAGGTTAAAAGATTTGGTGATTCGAGTAGGATGAAACTCATTGCCAAGGAGGCAGGAGAACCAGTCTCAGAGACGTCCACTAGCTTGCAATCTGAGTTATGGGATGTACTTGTCAATGGTTGTAAAGATGCGTTGCGCAGGGCAGGAGCTGATAGTAAGGTATACATAGTCGTAAGCCTGTGAAGATATCTCAATTTTATTTCTGTATTGTCAGTAATTCTTTCTGTTTTGTCCGTCATCCTTTTGGTTTTTTGAAGGCTGAGTCGGCTTTAAGCTATTGGGACGTCCTTCAGATATTCACACATGATCATGACCATGCTGTCCTCTGTGAGAAAAACATTTTGATTCTGGATTTTGCTGCTGCGCTGCAGGCCGCTGTTCTGGACTTTTTTGGAGTACCTGTCAAAGCACAAGATGTGCTTGGTAGGATCAAAGAATTGACTCTGCTAGGAAAACGTATAAAGCGTTTCAAAGACCCCGTTGCTCAATTTCGGCTCAAGTCCCATCCCAGAGTACCTTCTTGGTCGAAAGTATGCGAGTGGAGCCAAGGTATAATTATATTCTGATGTCTTATTGTGGTTATTATCCCAAAATTACTCGTTTTATGAAATGCTCCAGCACATAATTTGATCAAGTTTGGTATTCTCGCACAGATTCAGGCGGCGGTATTTTTATTATTTTACTCACTGATTTTGTCACCTTCTTGCGCTTGCGATTTGTGTTTTAGTGGATGAGAAAATTATATTTTGTGCTTTGTAACCACTGGAATGTCGATTTTTTTGTGTGATATGTTCGTAGTTGATGACGCAAGACTACTATTGGGTGTTTATTACCATGGACTTGGTAATTGGGAGAAGATAAGACTGGATGAAAAACTCTTTCTGTTCGATAAATTGGCTCCGCAAGGTGCTACTGCCGCTGATACGTCCTTGCCTCGTTCAACGCATCTTGAGGCTCGTGTAAATGCTCTCTTACGGAAGGTACAGCCGTTTTGATTCGAAAATTTCAAGGTGTGAATTGTTTAGCACCCTTTATTACCACTGGGACTAGTAATCAGTAGTAGATCCAGCACCCTTATATCTCATACACCTCACCTAAATACTGGTAGGCTTGTCTGAAGCTAGAACAAAATTGGGATACCCGGAGCGGTTCTCTTGTGCCAAAGGTAGAGCACTATGATTGACTTCTTTTATGGCTTACAGGAACTTGAAGTTTCAGGTGAGATGAATGGGAATGACGAGTCTGAAAGGCCTGCGAGGTCTAAAGGAGGACATAAACGTGATTGGTTGGATGACAGCGCAAAAGATAGGTCTGCTAAGCCAAGTTCAGGTTTAGGAAGGAAAAATTCTGGAGGGTCCGGCCCACAGAAAATTAGTGCTAGGGACCGAGCTGCAAAACGCTTTAGAACCGATCAAGATGTCAAGGAGGAAGGCGAAATCTCGGGCACCGATGAAGGTGGCGTACAGCCATCGCGCGGACGTGGAAGGAATAAGGACAATACAGAGAGGCAGTCTAAAGAAGAGAAATGGCAATTCTGGTGTGCTCAAATGATGGAAGACCAGTCTCGTACACTGGGAAGTCTACAAAAGCTTCAAACGAATTTCAGTTTACCTAAAGAAGAGGTTTGTCTTCTGCTGTCCTATGTTCACGCTGATGTGATTTTTTTCGACTACTAGTTACATAGTAACATTACGTATGTGGATATAAGACCGAATGTCGTTCACGAGATTTAGTACAGCGACCTTTTAGAGGGCCATAATTAATGCCAAGAAGAATTCTACATTTCTTTGTTTTTAGTTGAATTCAGTCTTTTGGCAAATTTACGATTTTTTTTAACATCCAAACACTCTGCTGCATCTACCTTCTGCAGGTTCTTCGAAGAGTGAAGACGTATTTGCAGACTCTAGGCCGGAAAATCGACTCCATCCTAGCTGAAAATGAAGCTAATCCTAATCCAGATAGTAAGTGGTTTTTTTTATCGACAACATGAACTTTCTCGTATTTTTCAGTACTTTTCAGGTGTATCTCATGGTTGTTTTTTGATCTCTAAATCCTTTACATTCGATGATTGACACCAAAACTATTTTTGTTGTATTGGATGCAGGAATGGCCACCAGACTTTGGAATTATGTGTCTACATTTTCGAATCTGACGGGGGATAAACTAGCACAAATATATAAGAAATTGCGACAGGAACCTACGCATGAACATGCCAGAGGGACATCCCAGGATCCCAATCACGGTAGTGCAGCTGGTCCTAGTGGAAGGGATGAACAAAGCCACCTTACCAGTAACAGGAGACAAAATCACGTTGGAAATACAAGTGCGCAAGTAGGGGAGCCTAGTCGAGGGGATTATGAACCCTGGAAACGACGGCAGAGAGAGGACCCACCTGGAGGTCCCCCCATTGGACCCCACAATGCAACAGACCGTCGGAAATGGGATGGCAGACCTGGAAGTGTAGATGGTTGGAGGAATAGGGGTTCGCCTCTTGTTGGTGTTAACGGCAGTGGGTGGGGTTATGATAAGGATCTTAGAGAAGATAGGGGCCCATGGGGGCCGCATGATCGGAGCCGAGATTGGAATAGGAGGGATGTTAATCGAAATCCAAGACCTCAACCCAGGCCAACAGGGCCATACGGGCATGCACCCCCGGCTTTCACACATTGAGAAGGGGTTGTTAATTACCCTATTGACATTTTTCTTTCAATGAATAAGAATTGTTTAGTTATCAATGAGTGCCTATCTGCAACGATCGAAGTCGATTTAGATCCCAGGACGAAAGTTAAGTGGCTTTGTTTGCAAAGCGCACTCAGAATGAGTCTCATAAATACTGTCATTTACTTATAGCCAAATGCAAAGTTGGCACGGCACACAACAGCGAGATTTTTACTAATTTAATCTCGTAGATGTAGAGTGTAGAATGTGTTAACTTGTGTATTTCTAAATGAGATTTTGAAGGGAAAGGCGTGTAAAGACATATGTAGCATGTTTGGCGGGCAAAGTACTAGCTGTTGCGGACGATGTTACTTGACACTAAAGAGTATTCCACCAGTACCTCGGAATGGTACAATTTTACTGTAAGGTGGTGAAATTGCAAAACGGAAGTACGGAGCATGGCCCCATCGAGTTGCTGCTTCATGAAAAACGCTAGGAAGTCTGTTGCTGTGTACAAAGTAAGCGTTAATTTCAGTAGTAGATCTAGGGTACTTAACATGCTGACTTGTCCAATGAAATGTTTGGCCCTCTAATGTTCAACATTCACAGGGATACTGCAACTTAGAGATAGAGCACTTCATTCATGGCTGAGGTACGAAACCACATGTATAATCTCATAATGACACACTTAGCAGTAAAGCGTTTGAGACCTAGAGTGATGGGGATAAGCTATTTCTATACATACTAGAAAGAATTAACTAAGACTACCCTACTTTTGTGATGAGTCGCCCCCATCAGAGGCCATAAAACTCTCGTAAGTTAGCTGAACTACAAGTGCCACTAGAATGAAAGAATACAAAGCCAACTTTGGCCATGGATGCTCACCGTTCGAGACAGCCTCCACTAATGACAAACTCAACAAGAAAATGAGGACCCCATACAAAAACCTCCGAGTTTTAGACGATCCAGACTTCCTAGCAACATTGAAGACAATCTTTGCCTCCTCTTTGATGCTCTTTTTCTCGTCAGCAGTGCGGTCGCTCCATGGCTTTAAAGGTTTACTGTACAAACTTTTGAAGAACAAACCTTCACTGCGAGCCTTGTCAACATTCTCCTCAAATTCGTCGAATTCCCGGCTGTCGGCTTCCATTTGAGCCCTCGCAGACGCCAATTCCTCCTCCATTGCTTGCGCTTCTGCATCAACGCTACTTATAATCTGCAAAACAAGGTATTACAGAAGCTGAGACTCACATAACAATGTTCGATCAATTGGAAAAATGATCACGAGTGACACGAGAAGAAATACGCAGTTAAAAGAGGCCCGCGTAAGACATCACTGTAAAGCAAGTGGCTAGGGACAAAAATTGCATCCTCTGCAATAAATGATCACTTCACCAGTTCGTAGATACCGAATTCTCTCCTAACGAAAAGTAAACAATGAGGATTAGTACCTTGGAGCTTGCTTCGTCCATCTTCCCCATGGCATCTTGAGCGATTTTATCATACTCCTCCTTGGCTTGATCGGCAATGTCAGACAACAACTTGGAGCGCTCGTCAACAAATTCAGTAACACGCATTTTCCCAGCCTGGAGTCGCACCATGCCTACCAGCATATCCTGCACTTGCTCATCGCCCTTGCCATCTCCATCCTCTGGCTCGTCCACCTTTCATAAAGAAAATACCCATATGAGGCGATCGCACATGCTTGCAACTCAGGAATTACACAGTAACACAGCCCCAACAAACCCCTAAAGAACTCATATTGACATTACCAAAATAAGCTCACTCTGTGACCACATTGCTGAAGGTTACGAAGTAAAAATAACTTTGGACTCTGATGACTACCCTTCACCTTACGACAACCACACCTAAGAGCTCTAGGTCGATGGATAACACCATACTTAGTTCGAGGATCTGATTATCTTAATGAGAGTTCGGGTTATTAAAGCGACAGCAAACGGAAGTTTCAACGATGAAGCCATGTCTATGAAATCAAGTCCACCATCATCGTGACTGCTGTGAGAAACAAAAGTTGCCGCAGCGATCAACAGAATGTAGCCACTGCAGCAGTTCGACAGCTCGTAGGAGACATCAATTGCCTATGGCGACCTTGACTACATCCAAGCATCCGAATCACTGATAAAATAAAAACAAAGATCACTACAACAAGACCACAGAGACTGCAAAAGCACACTACTAACGTCTCACCTGTCCGCTCGCCGACACAAATACCAACAGGCGCTTGCAGGTCCTGCGACCAGCGGACCGCCGCAGCAAGCTCTCAATAGCCAGGCCGCGCCCACTCCATAGCTGCAGCGACCCAGTAAGAAAGCAGGAAGAAACGGATGGCCGCAAGGCCGGGTGCGCGCACATGAACAGCATATCCGCAAACCTACTTGACAATTCGAGAAGACGCGATGTCCACTACGAGCTAAATCCTAACATTCCTCACCCGACCTCGCGACATTATCTCCGAAACCAAAACATGTTCGCGACCAAATCCCAGTGGCAGTAGCGCCGCGTTTCAGCAACTCACAACCCCAAGAGAAGCTGTGAATTGGAGGGGAACAAGCTCTCAGCGGGGCATGGATTGAGTTGGGAATGCGTGTGCTCGGGTGTGATTCCATGGCGCTCCATCGCCACCCTCTTGCGCTTCATCTGGTTGGAGCGCCCAATCCTTCGCCGCGACTGTAAAGCCCCGCGAGATGAGCGCCGGGATTTCATTCATCTACTGGATGAGGCACGTTCGATGACTGATGACGCCATGGTCCTCCGTTTTATGAGTGCTGTCTCAATTGATTTTCTTTTTCTTTTTGTTGAATAAAAATTCAGTACGAAAGAAGACATTACAACCTTCAAGCGAGCTTCAAAGTAGAGTTTCACTTCCACCTAATTCTATTTTCAAGCATGGAAGGATGATGGAATAAACTTAATCATAACATCAGCATTTCTACCCAACTTTATTCACCAGGAATTCGGTATTATTAAAACACAACCCAAGAAATGTTACACCAAGTAACAAGATGTTTTCGGAATGTATTACAACCTGTCATATATGAAGTGAGGAAAAGCTATGTGAGTAATTCCCTCGGCCTGCATTTTCTATTGTTGTGGGTAGGAGTTATCTCACTTTGTAAGACTAAACTTAAAAGCACTACAAAACGAATCTACCCTTCAAGATTTCGTGGCTGACAGCAGATGCTGGGATTTGTGGGCAATCTTTCCCTTCTGAATTTTCCTAAAAATTTCCTGTTGCAGTCATTTGCCTAACCTAATGCAGTGTTTTTCAAAGCTTGGGTCCACCATAAGTACTTCATGGCACATCAAGCACCGTCACTTGTCCACGACGAGACTTCGGTAATAACAGGCTCACCGATTTCATTCCATTTCATATTGAACGCCTTAGTTTTATCCATTAGCAAATCAGTACATACCAAAAAAACTCCCATCTACACTAATATCTCAGAAAGCAAACGCAAGAGAGTTGAGCAATTGATAAATTCCATCGACAAGCCTCACATTGGACACGTTCAAATGATAGTCTCTCATGAGTATGCGGGGTACCTGAAACAACATTTCTCATTGGGTTCGGAGTTACACTATTGTAAGTCCCGCTGGAGTGTAAGTTTCACGACAATTGTGATTGGGCAGAAGGCACAAAGTCCGTTATGTTTAATGTAGCAAAATTGAATCTCTTAAGCTTGGTTTTGCTGCTTCATCGTTCCTGTTTCATCTTATATTTCAGATGATGTTTAAAAATTTATCAAATTGTGAGCAGAACATCTGTGCGTAAGATCTTTTACTGAATGTCCGCGTGAACGTTTATATCATAGCAGTGAGGAGTCAACTTGCTTCTCTGACACGTCAATGCCGCCTAGAATCAGAGCCCCAAATCTGAGTGGCCAGGCTACCACCTAGAATGAAAGCTGCACCTACCCAACCACGCAATCCCCACCGTTCACCAAGTACATACCAGGCAAAGCCAGCTCCCCACAGCGGTTCCATTGTAGTAATCACAGCAGCTTCAGTGGCAGACACAGTTCGCATTGCAAAAATCTACATAGAAATTTAAAATCCGTCAGCATCATACTTAATGTAAGGACTTCCTAAACTCCAGCTGTTTTTACCGTGCCTGTGAGAAAGTATAGCTTAAAACAGCCAAAGCATCCAAATATTTAGATTTTTGTTGGAACACTTAGAATAAGATCAGGCAGAGAGAAGGAGAGGAAAGAAGTGAGACAGAACATTAATTTGTGGAAAGGAAAGAATATGGAGTGAGATAGCACAACATACCTCAGCAGATAAACAAATGGCTGTTGAAAAGAGACCACTGTAAACCATAGGGCCCCAGGGCAACTCCTGTGCGGTGTGATATAAGGCAGGCCAGTCCAAAGTAGCAAGATTTGGAAGCGCGCTACCGGATGTTAAGTGGCTCGCAATGAACCACATGCAGGAGCTCCCAGTAATCACAAACAACTGCACAATGAAGACAAAGCAGTGTTTCGATTACATTCTATTTCTAATGGAGTCAACAGTGGCAACTTGAAGCTCCAAGGTTGAGTAAAGAAATTTGGCCGTATCTAGTATCAAATAATCACCGAAAGAGCTTCAGAATTGGAGCAGTTAAGGACCTGAAGAGAAATTAAAGGCAAAGCAGCACTCGTGCTATGATTACGCGAGTGAAATTCAGTTCGGATGATGTGAATTCCAAAGACCACAGCGCTTAATAAGCTCCAAGCGTCGCCAATCTGTGACAAACATGCAAGTTAATTAATAATTTTCCATGAAAATCTGAACACTCCCGTGTAATTAACCCTCTCAATTTCGGATTGTTATATGGAATTAATATCTCGATCTATGACAGAAAACTTCTAAAAAAAAGGGGGGGGTGGACGCACCGACGGCGGTGCACCAGTTGTTTCAAGAAGTCCAACTCCAAACAGTGCAGCAACAGCTGCAAGCCAAGTGAGAAGCGGGATCTTTTTTCCCATTAAACCTGCGATGAATGGCACCGTTAAAACCTGCACCGAAACAACGTTACCATCAGAGAATTTCCATCATTACTACGGTCACTAAGGCCTTAACCTGTCTGTGATATTGTCTTCGAATTCACTGATGAGATTTTCATAAGCAGTCCGTCTCTGATAAAAACAAACCTGAACATGCGTCCTCATAACAATTCTTAAAGTAGAAGGTTAAGGCAGAAATTCGCACTGTGAATGTAGTGAAAAATGAAGCACGTCCAGCATCGGTAGTCATCAAGCCGAGTGCCTGAGCAAGAAAACCAATGCCTGCCCACACTCCGAGTTCAAGGCCAGCTTCAGTCAAGCCTGGTTCCTTAACTGCATCTTTTAAGAAGGGCGCAAAAACAACAGCCGCTATAACGAATCGTCCTACCGAAAACGACGCAGCATCAAGTGTTGTCTCTTTGATGACTGCTATGTTGCTACCTGTAGCACACATTCTCAACGTCAGTGTCTAGCATCACTACTCTAATTCATAACATGGAATTTGTCCAATATTAATTAACAACCAGAATGCTTACCTGCTTAAACATGAACTCGATCAGGATTGCACGCGTACAGAACAAACTGGTGTGGCATTTGGTTTAAGTGGATCAAAATTAAACATCCAGAATTGTCAAGGACATACACGAATTTGGACATCACATACCGTAAAAAAATGTAAGCACATTGAGTATAATTATCCCTTGACGATGAGGATCAATTGATTCTATGAATGTCATCCACCATTGCTTCACTACGATCTCTTCAAGTGCTCCAATCCCGGAATCCAATGGTGACGGTGATTGATCGCTACAGGAGGCCTGTGATTGCTTCACTTCGTCCTCGTTACGGAGACCAGGATGGGATGAATCAACCCGCAAATCCTCAAATTCGTAAGCAGGCTCAGGAACATACGCCTTATGATACTCATAAAATTGATCCTCGTAATTATCAAATGATACTGGTGCACATTCTTTGGTGCTAGTTTTTTCTCTTCGTGGGCAAATTCGAATAGTAGGCAGCGACTGCTTGTCACTTTTAGTAGAATACGCGAAAGATTTATCTGGAACGTCCCGATTCACCCCACACCTGACTGAGGACCCAAGGTTTTCATTACCGCTGCAACGTCTTGAACACAGTGTTCCAGTCCTTTGCAACTCGTCCAGCATAAGCTTCGGCTGACCTAGACCGAACCGCCGTATTTGGAAACAACGATTTTCCACATGGCAAGAGCTCGTGACAAAAGAGTAGGAAAAGTGTGACCTAGCAGTGGACAATCGGGAATATACCCTGCGACAGGAGTGCATTTGGTAACTGACACCCCCATCCATGATCACGAGATTAAGCCTTGTAAAGCAAGAATTGAGAGTCCATTCAATGATTCGTCTGTTCCACCGCTGATACAGTAGCTTCGTCAACAGTCAAGGCCCTGAAGCAATCAACGTAGAACAAACTCAGTCAGGAGATTCAAACTAAATGAAGGGGAATTGCTGCGATGTCATGGACCATGTAACACACCGCTGACAAATACCTCTACTCCAATTCTTCAAACAAGACAAGCAGAGACGTGACGACCGGCTAGTAACCTCAAACCAGACATGGATCACAGAGATTGATCTTACGAAAATCTCGGACACAATCCCCTCCTCCGTAATCCAGCAGCACAGCAACCAAATGAAATTTCCGTATGAAATTTGCGTCAGAAACAAAACAAGCAAAAAAACGTTGGATACTCCGAAGTGCAAACATTGGATAGTCCGAAGGAAAACGAAAACGAACATGAAATCAAAATTACTAGCAGAGGAAATCATGCTGCTTCCCCCGACGTAACCGAGTCACCAAATTCCCTCACCTAAATCGATGGTGACAAACGTAACGACGAATACACGCTCAACACCAATGGCACTGCAGCAGCAGCAACAGTCTCACAAGCCCGCCGGTTTTCAAGCTCCCTCTCCCCTCCCGCACTCTTCGTTCTTCTAATCAACACAGCTGCAACGCACACGAGGTAGCGAAACATAAGGGACGCTTGGGAAGGGCTTACGCGGATCCAGGTCATAGGGTCATGCAACAAACCAATGCGATTTACGAGCTTTGGCAGGAGCAATGGAGTGTTGACACTGTGCTGCTTTGGTAGAGTGGATAAAGCGGGTGCGCCCTCGAGGCTGGGCTGGGTGATGGGCCCGGGGAAGCCCCGCCCCGGCACAGTCTCGATATTTCCCCCGTTGGGAAAGCTCTAAAGCGTCCTCGGATATTTCTAGTGGGTCCCACATGAGTACTTTGGGTCGCTGTTGTTGTTAAGGATTGTTCTTTTGGATTGAAGGTGAATTTTGTTTTGTTCAAATTTTGAAGTAAGTGGGTTTGGAATGGTTGTGCTCTGGTTTTGAGTGCACATTGATGGTTTTATTTTTTATTTTTTTTGCTTTGATGAAAGACTCTATGGCTGGTTGTGAGCCAAAATAAACCTCTACTAGTTGGAAGTTTATTCTAGTTCACAACAAGTGAATTAATTATGAAAATCTTTGAAATTTTAACTCTTATTTAAACCTCAACCAAATCACTCTTAACCCCCTTAAATCACCCATGAGTGAGAAAAAAACAACCTCCTGTATTTGGAGTTATTCCTAGCTCACAACAAGTGAATTAACTATGGAATTTTGACAATTTGTAGCTCTTATTTAATCCAATTTAATGTGCTAAAGAAAAAAACTCCCTACTACTAACTATCACATACAAGAGTAAATCATTCCAAAATGTTATGTACTTTAAAAATTATCATTACTATTATTTTTTATTTTTTTAATTAAAAATTATCCATCAATAAAAATTCATACTTGAATGACTATTCATTCAAGTATAATAATTCATCTAATTATAAAAATTCATTCTCTTTACTTTATCTAAAAAAATCCTAATTCAATTTAATCCTAATTAATTCCATATAACTACCCTAAATCATCCTAATGTAACTTTCTAATGTAAGTTCATCTCTCTTGAATATCTCACCAAGTAGGAGGGTGTCAATTTGCATGAATCTTTGAACCAAATTCCACTTGAACTACTAAACTGCTGTTTCAGGGATAAAATTCTAGTGCCTTTGCACACAATCTCTTGAGTCTAAGCAAGCCTCCTTTCACTGATGTATCATGACAATGACTTGATCCTCTTAATTAAGGCTATGCTATGCTAATCTAGGACTACCACACTGATCGATCAAGTGCTCGATGGATAAGGAAGTTCATGCTTCCAATGCTGGTTCAATGTAACTTGGCTTATACACTTAAAGGGCTCTCTCAGCCAAGTTGGTAAAATTCTGCAACTTGCCTAGCCTGTAGTCTTTGTGATAACGAACAACTGCAGCAATCTATAATTTGTACAATATACTAGTTCCATAAGAGTTGCACAAGAAATCAAGTTGCATTGGTTTGACGTATTGTGCTGTGTACAGGCTCTAGTCACCTATGAGCTGCTATGTATTGAGAATATTTTAGAGAAAGAAAGACAAGAGCTAGAAGTAATATGCACACACATGTAAACACATACATACAAAAATTGAGTTTATTGATAGGATTATATCCTTTATACAAAGAAAAGAATAGAAGATAAATGATGTTTCTCCACTACATTCCAAAATACTATAATTATAATAAATATTGTAGACTATAGTAAATAGCATGGACAGTCCTAGCTACATTTAATGCTCTCAATGCTCTTCCTTGCATGTCATAATATTTATATGCATAGAATTATGATCTATACTTTTTTGTAATCTTGTAAGATCAATAATTTTTGCCTCATTTAAACCTTATTTAAGAAAACCTTATTATATTTAAGGATAAAATCATAGATGAAAGAAAAAGAGTATAACATTATCTCAAGAGTTCATTAACTTTCTTGCTCAAGAAAAGCAAGTCTCTGCATGCCAATGCCATAAGAAAGTCGGTGATGGTTGCACAAAATGAGAGCTTTGGTGAGGAAATTAGGAAGGTTATTTGTAAATTCAATTTTCTTGATCTTAAGTACCTGATCAGTATTCTAGTCATGGGTATAACTAAAATACTTTGGATCAATATGCTTTGTCTTCATACATTAACTTCATACAAGATAGTTGGAGAATCATCATATAAAAATCCATAGGTTATTTGAATAAATTTATCAATTGATTGAAATCAAATATAATCTTGAGATACTTCATACAAGACAATGATTTTTGCATAGTTGGATGAAGTTGCAGTTATAGTTTGTTTCACTAATTTCTATGATATTGCAACTCCATGTCTTAAGAATACATAGCTTATTTGAGATTTAGCTGTTGCAATATCATATTTATATCCTACATCAGAATATCCAATCAATTTTAAATTTACATATTGTGTATAGTATAATCTCAAATCTTTAGTACATTTTAAATAACATAGTAAATGTTTGACGCCATTCCAATGTTGTAGTGTTGGACGTGCATTGTATCTTATAAGAACACTAACTACAAATATAATATGTGGTCTAGTAGATGTGGCTAAATATAAAAGTGCTTCAATCGCTACAAAGTATGGATATTGTTCTTTTAATATTTCTTCCTCTTCTTCTTTACATAGATGATATAGATTATAACCATCATAACCATGTCCAACTATTGGTGTAGACAATGCATAAGTGTCAATCATATTGAATCTTTGTAAGATTTATCTAATACATGTTACTTCGTAGAGAAAAATGCTACCATCTATGAAATACATAATCTAAAGTCTAATACAAAAAGTTATTTTTTCTAGCATTTTCATCTCAAATTCACTTATAAGTAGGTTAGTAGCTGCAATGCATGCAGATCTAGTATCTACTAGGTTAAGATCATCAACATATACATTGATGATCACAAAACTAATTTTATCTCATTTGATAAATAAACAAGGGATTAGTAGATCACTTATAAATTTATTTATAATTAAATAATCTTAAAGACATTGATACCACATGCATCTAAATTATTTTAGACCATAGAAGGCCTTGTATAATTTAATACCATGATATCATCCTAGAGTAGGTGCATTTGGAGTTCCTATTTCCAAACTAGGTCAAACTTTTATATAAATATTTACATCAAGTGAACCATACAAATGTACAGTTATCATATCCATGAGATGCATCTCAAAGGTGGCATGAACTACCATTCTAATAATATATTGGAATATAATTGAATCCATGACTAGAGAATATGTGGATTTATAATCAATGCCCAACCGTTGGATAAATCCTTGAGCAACAAGATGAGCTTTATAGTGGATTATTTGACCTTAGGTATCTCACTTGCATATTAATACTACCTTATATTCTACAGGGCGAGAAGTAAGAGTATCCCCAATTGGACCAAAGACTTTCTTCTTACGCAAAGAAGCATACTCTTCTTCAATGACAATTTTTCAATTTAACCAATCAGAGCAACGCATTGCTTATTGAATGGTTTAAGATTCACGATCTTTTTTCTTATAAGAAAGAGCTTCTGCCATCATGAATGTAAATGTTTCATCTATTATAATAGATTGTCTATCCCAAATTTTATTTGTAGTATAATATAAAATAAATAATTCTATACTCAACTTGGTTTTATTCTTCATGATTTCAAATTGTTTTATAGCATGAGATGAAGATATAATGTGTATAGACATATTGTCATTAAGTGATGGTCCCGTAGGTTTAGTAGGAACTTCCATAGAAACAATATCAAAATCACCACATATTATAACTTTCTTCTTTCGTAGTTATTCATTTGATCTACGAGTCCTTTTAATTGTTGATGTTATAACCTGAGGTATATTTGTTAGTGGTATTGCAATTTGAGCAAGTTCATTTTGAGCTTTATTAATTGGAATTCTTGTAATTTGAGGAGCATCATTGAAGCCATCAAGTTTTTAATTTGCAATCCGTTTTAAATACAAAATCTTAACAACTTCACTTTCAACTAAAGATGTTCTAGAATCAGGATTCATTATAAATATTTTTTGTATTCCAAATGCAAGTACTATATTTCTTTGTTGATTAAATACTCTTCTTAAAAGAGATAGAAATATTTTCTCTTTAAAATGACAATTTTAAAAACGTGCACGTAATAATGTGTCAATTGATGGGTCAACTATACAAATGATACTTGGTGAATCAAAATCAATATATATGCCTTCTCATTGATGAGCTCTAGTGGTATGGCATTGAGGTTTTGGTAGTAGAACCTAAGTATGGCAACCAAATATCTATAGGTGAGATACATTTGGAACATGACTTGAAATAAGCTCTTATGGTGTAATAATTTCAAGAGAAGAAAGATCGAGTTGTATTAATGTTGCAGCATGCAAAATTGCATGATTCTACATAGATGCAAGTAAATTTGCTTGAAGAAAGAATGGCTAGGTAATGAATTGTATATGCTTTATAAATGACTCTACAAGTTCATTTTGAACATGTTCATTTGGAACATAATATGTCAATTCAATTTTTGTTGCAGTATAATAGTCTTCAAAAGACTTTGATTCAAATTCTTTTGCATTATCCATATGCAATGTTTTGATAGGATAATCATGAAAATATACTCAAAAATGAATTAGCATAGATATAAGTTTAGCAAATATCATGTTTTGAAATGATAATAATGATATATGGGATTGTTTGCCTGATGCTTCAATAAGGACCAAAAAATAATGAAATGGTGTAGAAATTGGATTAATAGGACTACAAATATCATTATACAATCTTTTAAGAATTGGTGGTAATTCTTAAAGAAGTTTTTAAATTGAAGGCTTAGCAATCATCTTATCTTGCACACATGTATAACATAATTCTATAAAATCTACATCTGAAAGTCTTAAATTATCTCCAATTATACATAGAATTATCTTCTAAAATAATGTAGATCCTAGATATTCCAATCGTCCATGCCAAAGAGAAACATGACTCTTTATTATAGATGATGCAAAATTAAATATAATAGGAGGCCAGATTGCAATCCGATATAAATCATTTGTTGCAGCAAAGACTTTTTCTATAACTTTATGGTTTTCTTCAAGAACCAAAATCTCTTGTCTATCTAGAATTTTAATTGAGAGGTAATAAC